CCACATTGGCCTATCTCGAAACCAGCGGCTTGTGCTGACGTGCGAAGATAACAGGGCACGAGTACAAGAGTCATTCGACCACCTGTCCAGGATCTGCATGATTGATGTTTGGGAGCATGTTCGATCGGTTCGCTGGTCTGCTGGCGGTGTTTGAACGGCAGAGCTCTTTTGAGATGCCGTCATATGTTCGCCGTGCGGCGTTCCAGCATCAACATGCAGTTTTGAAGCCTTGTGTGATCTTAGTGATTTCTGTGTCGCCCTGTTGGACAGTACGGGGTCCCTGGTGCGTGTATGTGAGGGTGAAGGCGCCGGAGTTGGAGCCTTGCGTGATATTGCGGCAGATGTTGTGCGCCGTGAGCGAGATTGTATGATCGTGACGGGCTGGATGAGACCACTTGTCGGTGGAGATCACCTTTGACGCAGTATTTGCCCTGCGTTGCCGCGTGGACGAATGCAATTGGCAATCGCGTTTTTCCTCTGTGCTTGGCCCATCAAGGAGCTGAACCGGCAACTGCGGTGAGGGAGGTGGAGCCACGACCTGCGGCAGGCGCGTGCCGCCTGGGCGCCGTGGCAGCGTTGGCGGTGGGCGTTTAAAGAGTGAACCTTCCCAGCAGCCTCTGGAGCCCCGTCACAGCGGAGGAGGCCGCTCAGGATTGAGGGCGATCCACGCGGTGGGACTCATGTCGGGCGAAGAGAACTATGCACATGCACCGATCCTGGCAAGGCCCATTTTTGACCCAGGATCGGTGCATATGCCTTCCTGGCCAAGGTAGGAGGGCGTATGCACCGATCCTGGGCTCAGGATGGGCCTGGCCAGAATCGGTGCATGTGCATAGTTCTTTTCCCTCTATCATGGGAACCCCCGCAGTCATGACAGAAACCCTGAGACTGCAGTGAAGCCCTGGCGGTAACGGGCGCGAGCGGGGACGATGGGAGGGGGGTCTCGGCCTCCTTGATTGACGCAACTGCTCAATCAGAATCCCACTTGCCCTCTGCGCGCAGGTAGTTGTGCGTGCCAGCTCTTCCAAACGAAGCTAAATTCTTCCCCTCGGGGTCGCGCTCTCTCCTCTCCCTGCCCCCGGGGATACCTAACGGCGCTGGGGCTCGATCTGTGGAGGGGGGGAGGGGGCCGGTCACCTCACGATTCGCGCCAGCGCCGTCTGGGAATGCTCAAGAGCACGACTGGTTCCCAGGCGGCGCCAGCGCAAATTGTGACGAGACCAGGGGGCAGGGGGGGGGGCAGGCGGGGCCAGTCGCGGGCGTTATGAGGTCTGCCTCGAACTGCCCACCAGGTTCGGAGCGTTTCGGCCCGTTGGTGCGTTGGTGCAGACACCTGCCCCGAAGGGGACCGACACACCAGCCGTGCCGTGCTCTGCTCTGTGGGGGCCCTTGGCATGGACAGGCGCGTTTTGGCAGCAGGTGGACAGACAGACAGATGGGTCATGGGCGTCATCGCCAGTCGTGAAGAAACGGGCTCCTGCATCGCCCGCCCGGCTTTCAACACCCCGTCAGCCGGTCGCTGCTGGCGCCGCTCCCGCAGGCCGACGCCGACTCCGTGTTCTTCCCGCAGAGGCTCCGACGCATCCTGCTGGAGCAGCGCCCGCGAGCGCGGCGCCTCTGCCCGGGTTGCCTCGCCGCCGCCCGCGGTCGTCGCTGCGTCGGCGCAGCCGCAGGCGACGGCGCCTCGGGCCGAGAGCGGTGTGGCGCCAGAGTCCTCCTCGGCCGTCCTCGAACGTCTAGGCCTCCCAGATGGGGTCCAAGCAGATGGGGTCGGTGGATCGCGCAGCATCGCCCATGCATCGGGGATGCGTCTCGATGTGGAACCCGACGTTCTCCGCGCCGGCGCCGCCGATGAGTCGCCGTCGTCGTCGATGCATCGGCAATGCATCGGCGAGGTCGCGAGGCATAGGCGACCTTCCGACGCCATCCATTCGGGCCCCATGTGGGAGGCCTCCAGTTTCGGACCGAGAGCGGTGCGGCATTAGAGTCTTCCCTTTGGCCGTCCGTGGGGAAGAAGGCGGTGGCTCGAGATCGATTCTGACGGGTGCGTCCCCCTCTCTCTCTCTCTCTCTCTCCTCGTCCCCCCCCTTGAGGGGGTTTGCGGAAGTTCCGGAGGTTTCCAGAGGTTTCCAGAGGCGTCTGAAGGCTCAGAGAGATGTCCAACAGCATCTTGATCGGCGATCCTTCCCTCCCGGTGCCGCCCTCCCTGCAGATCTGTGGTATCCAGCTGCCTGCGACAAGCCCCGCCACCCTGTCAGCCCAGCACTCTGGCTGGCGACTCGTCGGAGGGGCACGGGAGGCCGTCACGCGTAACATCTCGCGCCCCCAGATGTGGGAGAGCTGGAACACGTGACACGCTCTTCCGCATCGCGTTGGGAGTTCTCTTCTCGACTTCGCTTTCCTCCCTCCCGTCCATCCTTGATCGGGCTCCCGTGCGACAGTCTTGGGGATCCCTTGGGCCTCTGCCGTCTTGGGGCCGTCTTGGAGCTTCTTTGTCAGGAGGGAAATCACACTGGCACAATTAATCGTCGACTCCCAAGAAATATGAGAAAATATGGGAAGCGGGGGAAAGACGAAAACCCAGAACATCTGTGAGAATACGGGGAAGCCGGGGATTTGTGTGCATTTACTGATGTGTCCCTGGGTCCTTTCATCTTGGGCCGTCTTGGGGCACTCCTGGCCGTCTGAGGGACCTCTTGCGGCCGTCGTGGGGCCGCCTGGTTTTTCTTCTGCGCCCGTCGGGGGGCCGTGTGGGGCCGTCAAGAGGCGCCCGCCGAAAACGCAGGCGTGGGTGTCTCCAGAGGCCCTCGTGGGCCAGCTTTTAGGGCTCTCTTGGGGCCTTCCTGGGCCGACGTAAGGGCCCTCTTCGGGCCACCTCGAGACCCCCAGACCTCCTCGCGTTGTGAACACAAATCGCGACGGAGGGGGTTTTCGCTATTGTCAACATCCGTGGGCCCTGCCGGGCGTCGGGACTGTCAAAAAACTACTCAGGAGGAAAAACGGGTCCCCGAAAAGAGGTCCAGACCTTTGGGGGTCGGCGTTGTGAACAAATCACGACGTCGGGGGTCTGTGCCGTCTTGGGGGCTTTTGTCAGCTATTTGGGGGCCCTTCTTGGGCCGTCTTGAAGGGGGTCATCTTGGGGGCCCCCAGCCATGGCTGTCTGGAGCTGAAGGAAGTCCTAAGAGGCGAAGCCGCCCAGGTCGTAGAACAACCCTGGGAAGAGGGTCCTCTGGCTGTCCTGCTGGGGCGTCTTTTGAGCGCCTCGCAGGCAGGCCTGAGGCCATCTTCGGCCGTCTTGGGGCCTCCTTGGAGGCGCCTTCGAAGCACACTGTGGGAAAGCACACACACAAAACACACAACAACGCACACCATGTGTGTGTGTTTTTGTTTGTGTGTGTGTTGTGTGTGTGTGTTAGTTTTCCCACAGTGTGTGTTTTTGGGTGTTTTGTGTGTGTGTGTTGTGTGTGTGTGTGTGTGTGTGTGTTTGTTCCCACAGTGTGTGTGTGTGTGTGTTTTCCCACAGTGTGTTTTTTTTCCCACAGCGTGTCTGTGTGTGTATGTGTGTTTCTTGGCGGTCTTGGTGGCCTGCCTCGGCAGTTTTGGAAGCTCGGGGGCTCGGATCCTTTCCATTTGTTTGCTGTTTCCAAAGATCTTGGCCTCGAGAGCGCGGCCCCGAAGTTTGACACGAGGATCGTGCCCTCGCGAGGGGGGGGGGGCGGGGCGATGCACGAAACTGGATCTAAGTCGGGCCTGTCCCCCTACAGGGGGAATGCTGAACAATTTGCAACAAATAGTCTTGAGACCATGTTTTGGCGTATTTTCGAGCATTTGTTTTCAGTATGTTTTGTCTATTTTGATTTTTCGTCCAAAATCCGTCTGTAGGGGGACGTGCCCGACCTAAAACTGGATGCGAGCAGCCGGGGGGGTCCTGTTTAGAAGAGCGCAGAAGCCCTGCCAGGCAGCACGTGACATTCTACCACTCCCCAGGCTGCCAGGGGCCACGGCGCCGGATGTTCGCATTCCGGCTCGCACTCCTGGCTGAACGTTTGGGGCCGTAGCGTGTTCAGGGTCTCATGCACGCTTCGTCACCGAGCTGCGCCGACTTCTCTCGCCCTCTCCGCCCTGAGAGTCCTTCGTGCCCGGCCCATGTTTCTTTGTTTCTGGCGGCGAGCCTCCAAGCTCCTCGACACCGTGCCTCCGGGGAGGAGCACATGCCGACAGGGGTGCTTCCCCCCCGCTCTCTCATTATCCTTTTTGGGGGCCTCCTGTGAGGCTCTCGTCGCCGCGGCTGAATTCGTGTCGAGTAGCGGCATCGGTAGATCTGCTCGTTTCACCCATCCCCTCCTCCTCCTCCTGTCCTCCTCCTCCCCTCCTCTTCTCCTCCTCCTCCTCCTCGCCTCCTCCTCCTCCTCCTCCCTCCTCCTCCTCCTTCCTCCTCCTCCCCTCCTCCTCCTCTCCTCCCCTCTCCTCCTCCCCTCCCCTCCTCCCCTCCTTCCCTCCTCCTCCCTCCTCCTCCTCCTCCTCCTCCTCCTCCTCCTCCTCCTCCTCCTCCTCCTCCTCCTCCCCCCTCCTCCTCCCCTCCTCCTCCTCTCATCTTCCTCCTCCTCCCCTCCTCTCCTCCTCCTCCTCCCCTCCACAAGCCTCTGGCTCGAGAGCAGCGGCACCTTTTTGTGTTGGGGGGGGAGCTTCCTCGCGGAGGGGGCGCACGGGCGGCTGGCGCGGTCGGGAGGAACGCGTTTTTTTGGATTCCCTGGCGACGACGGGCGTGACCTCCTCCTCCTCCTCCTCCTCCTCCTCCTTCTCCTCCTACTCTTCGTCCTCCTCCTCCTCCTGCCCCTCCTCCTCCTCCTCCTCCTCCTCCTCCTCCTGCTCCTCCTCCTCCCAGGGGGGGGGATCGAGGGGATGGGAGCCAGTCGCGTTCGCACCGACGCCGTTTGGGAATACTTAGGATCCGGCGATCGCAAACATGGATCAAGGGGGCGTGGATTAGCGACGGGTCCCGTCTCCATGCGAAATCGTGGATTTCCGCCGCCGAGCGAGGCGGCACCGGCCGCATTCTGGGGAACCGCGCGCCAGATCCAGGGATCGCTAATCCATGCTTGCGCGCCCCCGAACCAGAGGGGCGGGGGACGAGGGGATGGGAGCCAGTCGCGCCGCGATTCGCACCGGCGCTGTTTGGGACTGCCCATGGAGAGGCTCACTCCCGCGCGGCGCCAGCGCGAGTCGTGACGTGGCCAGGGGGGGGAGGGATCTCGAGGCGAGGCGGGCGGGCCGGCCACGGGCGTTCTCCCACGAGTGGTTAGAGAACAGGCTCTTGCAGGCGGGGTCGAGCATGGCCGCCGGGGACGCCTGGAGCAGGTATCCTTGTGACCAAAGAGGGGGTCCAGCTGAAAGGAGGTGGTGCCATAGCTGTGGGGCAATGGTATTGCAAGTGTATTGCGCCAGAGAATTGTATTTGCATTGTTTTGCAACTAGTGTGCTGCACGCGAGAACACAGCAATACATTTGCTGCGCTGGGATGTCTTGCACACCCCAAATCTATTGCAACCCCACCAATCTACTGCACCAAATCTATTGCACCACCCCCTTGTCGCTGGACCCCCTTTTGGGTCAACCCGAAGGTACCAGAAGATTGGCGATTCCACCGCGGTCGCGCTGCCCTCGGACACGGCACTGCCCCCCCGGAGGGCCCTGTTCTCCGTGAGCGGCGCGGGCCTTGCTGCCCAGGAGGCCGCCCTGGCCATCACTGGGCCCGGCACCAGCGCGAAGGATCTCACGTCGGGGGCGGCAAAGAGAGGGGTGATGACGAGGGGGGGGATATCATGGCGTGGGTCATGATATTTCCTCAGATTTCATGGCGCCTCGTTTTATTTTATTAGTACGTCCCTGGCTCCGCCCATGGGCCGCGCACGTGCCGCCGGCCATGATTTGCGCTCCCCCCTCTTGGACACCCCCCGCTTGGCCGACCCCGAGACGAATATATCCGTATCCGTGCCCTCGCGGTTGGGATTCCGGGGCGCGATCCCGCGAACACGCGGTCGTACGGATGCGTTCCGAGCGGGGCATTCGCGGAGAAAAATGCCCCGTATCCACGGGGTAGCAGGCCCAGGGGCCCAGCACGCGAGGCCGCGGATACGGACATGGTTTTCGCCCACGAGGATCTCGCCGATGGAGCGTTCGACGAGGGTTCCATCTGGAACTTGGACGCCGAGGAGGCGGTCGAGAGGATCTACGGCAAAGACTGGATGCGCGTCCACGGCATCAGCATCAGCAGCGACACCTTCTGCCCTGGCCTCGAGGAAGGGTGGATGATCTGCACGCTGTGCCACAGGAAGCTCGCCGGCTTCGGCACCGTGCTCATGCACTTCGAGTCGAGGAACCACCGCAAGATGCTGGCCTGGCGCGGCGAGGAGACGGCCCAGGCCACGGCGCGCCGGCGCACCACCTCGCCCCCGCCGCAGCCAGTGGACCCCTCGGCCTACGCGCCGCCGGCGCACTACTCAGCGGCGGCCGCGGTCCCGGTCGTGAGGGCCTTGGCGAATGCGCCCACGGCAGAGGGGCCCTGCGAGATAGAAGAGCGCACCAAGCGAGGGGTCTTCCCAGACTGGATCGAGCTGCGGGATGGCGTGGAGTTCTGCAAGCTCTGCTGGGTGAACGCGCAGGAGTCCCACCTGTGGTCTGCCAAGCATCAGCAGCGGGTCCAGTGGCACAAGACGGGGAGCCTGGACGGCTTCCCAGCCACGGCGTACGGTCCGGGAGCTCCGCCGCCGCCGCAGGTGAGTTCTCCGTGGCCTCCCCCGAGCACCTGCGGCCTGGACCTGTGGGCCTCTGGGCCGGCGCCGCCGATCCCGCCGGAGTGGGGGGACGCGTCGCTCTTCGAGTGGAAGCCGGAGAGGGGCGCCTACTGGTGCCGCCTCTGCTGGAAGCAGGTGGGTGACGAAGGAAAGAAAGGGTTCGGGTTCGCCTTCACCAGCATTGGCGCGTAGGCTGCCCGCGTATACAAGTGTCCTCGTCTCCGATGTCGCGTGCCGCGCTCGCGGCCCGCGCAAGCTGCGGCGGAAGGTCGCGACCCGTTTCTTGTCGTCGGCCAGGTGGACGACAGCCACATTCGTGGCAACATGCACCGGAGCCGGGCGGCACGCCCCGAGGACTACCTGGGCGGCGACGGGATCGAGACGGCGAAGCCTGGCTTCGGGCAGCCGCCGCCCCCCCCGGGCCACCAGCAGGGCAACCCCTGGGCGTACCCGCCGCCGCCTCCCCCGGCGGCTCGCCCGGAGGACCTCAGAGGAGGAACAGGCACCCGTTCCGCTACACTTCCCTTGTTTTCGCCTTTTTGAGCCTCCTGGGAGGCCCTCGTCGCCACCGCTGGATTCGCCTCGAGATTCTGGCCAGAACGCCCCCCGGGAGTGGCCCGGGGTAGCGGTATCGGTACCCGTGGGTTTCCCCAGGACTTGCAGGCAAGGGCGCTGACGGACGCGGACGACGCGGCCGCAGACGCGGCGCTCGGGGCCAGGCTTGCCAGGCTGCCCCCGGGCTGGCGGTGCGAGTGGAGCCAGGACGTCGGCAAGCTGTATTACTACCAGGTGGACATCGAGACGGGACGGCCTCTTCCAACCGTGACGACGTGGGAGCCACCGCCCGTGGCGGCGCAGCGGCCACCGCCCCCGCCGCCGACGGCGGCCCCGCCTCCCGCGCCGCCCCCCCCGCCGCAAGAGTCGGACGATGTCGCGAAGCAGGCCGCGCTGCGGGCCGCGCTGTTCGGCGCGGAGGCCGCCGCCAGCGCCCGCGAGGCCGGCGGGGGCGAGGCCAGCGGCGGCGCCGCGGCGCGGCGGAGGGACGACGCGCCGCCGTCGCCGTCCACCGACCCAGACAGCACTACAGCTCGGGGGTTGCTACAGGTGCCCCTGGCCCAAGGTGCCCCCAGCTTTTTTGTTCGTTCCATACTGGAGCCCATTGGGCCCTCGGGGGCTCGTGATGGGTGGGCTTGGAGGCCATGGGGGCCTCCTTGGAAACCCTGGGGGCACCCCGGGCTTCGGTAGCAAGTCATGGGGGCCCTGTGTGCCCTCGCAAGTTTGTCTTTAGCGCCGACTTGCGTCGGTTGGCGTCTGGGAGTTGATGGCATGGCGTCGGTTAGCGTCGATGACAGCGCCGACGTAGCGTCGGTTGGCGTCGATTTGGCGTCGACCAAGGTGAGGCTCCCATGAGCTGCCACCGAACCTTGGGGCCTGGGTTATGTCGGGCCTGTCCCCCTACAGGGGGATTTTCGACGAAAAATAAGAAATACACCAAACATAGTCAAAACATAGTCCAAAAATAGTCCAGGGATCATTTTTGAGTTGGATCTTTTTGGGGTATTTGGGGGGTATTTTTTTTTGTTCGTCGAACATCCCCGGTAGGGGGACACGCCCGACATGAGGCCAGGGGCACTCCTGGCAACGCCCGCACCAGCGGGGCGCGGCTCCGCCCCGCCCACGCCGCCGCCCGCCGGCGCCGACGGCTCCGACGCCAGCGGCGCGGCGGGCTCCGACGCCCGCGCCGGCGCGGGCGCGGGCGCCGGGCCCGCCGGCGACAGCGAGGACGAGGCCACGCCGCGGCCGAGCCCCGCGGGGTCGCCGCGCGGCAGCCGCGCGGCGCCGGCGGCCGCCCCGGCGAAGTGGCGGCGGCACTTCTCGGCGGAGTTTTCCCGGGGGGCGGGGAGTGTCTTCAAGCCGGAGCAGGTGCCCAGGGATCCGACGTGTTGAAGAGATCAAGACGGAGGTTTTTAAACGTTTCGGCCCCTGTAGGGGTCCTCGCTGGGCCTCGGGACCGTCCAAGAACGGCTCAGCTGAAAGCCAGTCCTGGGGAATGGGTCGAGACTTCCGGGGACCCCGCATTGAAAAATCTCGACCTCAGATCTCTGGAGCATGTATACATTACCAGCGGCGGGCTGCTTTTCAATCCCAGGGCTTTTAGGTGGATCGGGAATGGCGCCGGGGTGGGGCGGTGTGATTCTACTTTTTCCCCGCTGTTCCCGGGGAAGCGACGAAACATGTATACACCAGTATCCCGTATACACCAGGATCCGCTGTCCTGTTTGCAAGTTTCAGTGCAGGGCCCGAAAACGCCTCGGTGTATAGAGTTTGGCACCTTGGGAAAGGTACTGACGCTGTCACCCCTCGCCCGTTTTCCCCATATTCGACCTCCTCGGAGGCCCTCGTCGTCACGGCTGGATTGGCTTCGGGTCATGGGCAGAACGCACCTGGAGCGAGATCGGGGGAGCAGCGGTTTCCACAGACCCCTGACGTGATGCTTCTGTCATAGCGTCGACCCCCAGAGGTCTCGACCCATTCCCCGGACCGCTTCTTCAGCCCGAGTCGTCCTGTGACGATCCCGCGGGTAGGCAAGGGCCCCCGCCCAGGGGCTGAAAATCGCGGAACTCCTTCCGCCGTTCTTTTGGTTCATGACTCGGGGGGTCTGGGTCGGCGCTTTGCTTAGAAGAAAAACGTCATAAACATGGCGTTCCGCGCGGATTTCTTGGACCCTCGCTGCCCCCCCCCCCGGCGTCGCCTCTAGCGCCGCCCCTGGCGCGCTCCGCGCAGATCCAAGAAACCCGCGCGGAGCGCCAAAAGTTTCTGTTCATGGTTTTTCTTCTTCTCCCAGAAATGGTACCCATGATTACTCTTGCCTCGTTTTCCCCTTTTGGGGCCTCCTGGGAGGCCCTCATCGCCACCGCTGAAGTCGCCTCGAAATCCTGGTCAGAACGCGCCCTGGGAGAGCTTCGGGGAGAAGGGGTATCGGTACCTTCCGGTTTCTCCACTTCTTGCGATGGTGGCGTAGGATTACTCGGATGCGACTCCTGGGAGGTCAATTTCTGACTTTGCCCTGGCCCGAAATCTGGCTTAATCTGGCTCACTCCAGCAGAATCCCGCGTAGTCCCGTGCAATCTGGCTTGATCCCGCTTCATCTGCTGCCTTATCCGGCGTAGTAGCCCCCCAATGGGGCTTAATCCTCCTTGACCTTTCCGACGCAGACCTCCTGGTAGTTGCCTCCGAAGGACTCTGTTTATGGCGTTTGTTTCCTTCCCCTGCCCCCCCAGGAGTGGCAGTGCGACTACTTCGTCGACGAGGAGACCGGCCTGGCCCAGTGGGAGCCGCCCCCCGCCGCCGAGCTGCAGCTCCTGCGGCTCCGCGAGCGGCGGGGGGCCGACGAGGCCGACCCCGCCCCCAGCGCGGCAGGCGCCGCCGGGGGAGCGGGCGCAGGCGCGGCCGCGGCTGCAGGGGTGCTCCGCGGAGGAAGCACTTCGGTAGCATCGTGATCTCAGCTGCCCTGGCACGGGGCAGCTGAGATCATGATGTTCCAACCTCCTTCAGCGCTGATCACCAGAAAGAATTTCGGGCACTGAGACAGTCCCGAAACTGAAGGGTTGTCACGTGTCGGGCCCTGGGAGGCGATACTCGTTCGAAACTGTTTCGATACTTTTCTGGGTGCTCGATTTGTTTCTTGGATTTGGTCCTTACGTGCGATGGGAGCAACATAACGGTAGCAATTTAGGAGCCTGGTATACCCCCTTAAACCGTCTTCAGCGTCGACTAGCGTCGATTAGCGTCTGGGAGTCGATGAGATAGCGCCGAGTCAGCGTCGGCTAGCGTCGATTTAGCACTGGTTAGCGTCGATTTAGCGTCGACTGGCGTCGATTCGAGAGCGCCGACAAGACGGTATGGGAGGCTCCCGTGAGTTGTCACCGAAAAATGCAAGTACCCATACCCCATACCCAGACCCCCTCGCGTCGTGAAAAAAAAAACACGACGGGATGTTTTTCGCTATGTTCGGCCTCGGGGGGCCCTCGTCGGGCCCCTGGATGGTCGAAAACGACTCAGGCTGATCAGCTGGTCCCGGGGAAGGGGTCGGGAGCTCTGGGGGTCGACCATGTGAAACAGGCATGGCGTCGGGGGTCCAGGCACAAGTACCCATAGCGGGAACCGCTAGGGGTCCTTAGTCTTGGTCCCCCCTCTCCCCTTGTCTCCTGGCGGTGAGTAGGACTGGCCCCAAAATTTCCTCCTCCTCCTCCTCCTTTTCGTGCCGCGGGCGGGCAGCTTGGTCTCCCCTCATGGCTGTCCCGCTGTCGGCCAGTGAATGCCGTCCTTCCAGCGGTAGCCGCTGGTAGGCGATTGCATCGCAGCCGAGAGCCTTTCGATGTCGTGCTGGCCCCCGCTCCTTTGTTCGTTCTCCTCCTCGCGGCCCTCGGTCCTTCGGCTTGCCCTCGGTCCTCCGTCGGTCCTGCCTGGGGTCCCCTGGCCGCTCGCCGCTCTCGCTTCGTCGGTGGCCCCTCGTGAATCCCACTTTGTGGGCTTTTGTAAGCAGGCGCCTCACAAGCATTAGCTTCAGCTGGCACAGACAATGGCTCGCAACGGTTCTTGTCTTGTCTTGTCGTCCTCCTCCTCCTTCTCCTCCTCCTCCTCCTCCTCCTCCTCCTCCTCCTCCTCCTCCTCCTCCTCCTCCTCCTCTTAGTCGCAGTCGTAGTCGTAGCTCTCGTCGTCGTTGTTGCGCGGCGGGTGTCGCGGAATAGAGCAATTCGTTACCCCCCATTGGCGGGACCTCAGTCCTTCAGTACGGCCGCCGAAAAAATGACTAGCTTTCCCTTACTGGGGGGGTCTGAAGACCTTTCGGGATTACCCTTCCTTCGTTTTCGTGTTCTGTTGTGCCTTTGGGAGGCTCTTGGTTCCCCCAGGTGCGGTGGAGGCGAGCATACTCAAGCGAGCACCAGTGCCACTACTTCGTCAACGCGGACACTGGCAAGGCTCTCCGGGCCCATCAGAAGACCACAACCACAAACAAGGCACTGCTCGTGGAGGGCCCCTCGGGGGGAGACCTCGCCGACCTCGAAATGAACACTCTCGTTGAGTCTGTGGTCGATTTGGCCGTCTGGGACGCCCACATTGACCACAAGCAGCACTAAACTGGTTTCAGGCTTCTGGTGACTGTTTTGCCACCCACCAAGCCACCCCCACCCCAACTCGACAACCCCAATTTGCCGTACATACCCGTGCGCCCCCCGACCGAAGTTTGGGGGTCTTCGGGTCGGGTTGGGGTGGTTTGGCAGGTGGTTCTTGTTGGCATGCGGAAGACAGGGCGCGTTTCGACCCCTCCGATTCGATTCGATTCGACTTCGATGGCTTCCGATTCCGATTCCGATTCGATTCGACTTCCGATGTTGCATTGGAGGCCTACTAGCCTGCCGATTCCCGCCGACTCGACTTTCCCCGACTTGGCTGCCGATTTCCGCCGATCCGATTCATTTCGATCGCCGATCCGACTTGTCGATTCGATTCTGGGCTCTCCTGCCCAGGCTCAGTGGGAAGCCCCGCCAGACGACGAGCTGCAGGGCCTGGAGTGCCTCGAGGAGGAGGAGGCCCCGGGCCAGCGGGGCGAGGCCGCGGCGGAGGCCGCGGGCACGACAGCGGCGGCACCGCTCGCCAGCGGCGCGGCAAAGTGGAGGACAGTATACTCTGCCGAGCACGACTGCCACTATCCAGGTGGCCTTCGGCGAATCACCGCTGCCCCCTGTCTCTTCTCGGAGAAGAAGAATCGGCGTAAACAAGCTGTTGGCGCTCCGCGCGGGTTTATGGCTTGGATCCGCGCTGGGGCCCCCCAGGCGACGCCCCCAGCGACGCCCCCGGCGCGCTGCGCGCGCCATGGAGGGGGGGGGTCCAGCGCAGTTCCAACAAATCCGCGCGGACCGTCGACACTTGATGTTTATGCTGCTTTCTCTTCCTCTCTAGCATCGCCGCCGCCCCCTGCCTTTTGGGATCCGCCCGTGTGGTCAGAGCCGTGTGGGCAGCGTGTGTGGCCACGCTGCTGGGCCGTGCGTTGCCCCAGCCGCCGTGGAAGCCTCTGCGGGAGCGCGTGGCGAGCACGGTCTTGCCGCTCTCCAGGCTGGCCTGCGGCCTGTCTTTTGGCCGCGCCCGGGCTGCAGGCCAGAGGCCTCCCGTCGCCGTGCCGTCCTGCCGCCGTGCCACCCCGCCTCCGGGGCCGCCCCCGCCCTCGTGCCCACCCCGCCTCCGGGGCCCTCCCGCCTCCTGGGCCGCCCCGCCTCCCACCACCGTGCCGTCCCGCCGCCGTGCCACCCCGCCACCGTGCCATGCGGCCCATCCCGGCACCGTGCCGCCCTGGCAGCCGTGAGCATCTCCTGGCGGAGCACGATGGCCACCGCCGCAGCCGCCCCGCGCCCATCCCGACAACGTGCCGCCCTGGCAGCCGGGAACCGATCCTGGCGAACGCGATGGCCACTGTCGAAGCCGCCCCGGGCGAGTCGCCGCCGCCCCTGGGCCGTCGCGGAGCGGCCGTGCGGGAAGGCCGGCGGGAGGCGTCGTTTGCGGGTCTTTTGGAGGTGGCTGTCGCGATCGGCCGAGACCCCATTGGAAACTTGCGAGAAGGATGCAGGTTTTTCAAGGTCCAGTTCTCGGGGGCGGAAAAGAGGGGGGTGATGACTGGGTGGGTGGGTATCATGGCGTGGGCCATGATATTTCCCCAGATTTCATGGCGCCTCTTCTCACTTCATTGCGTCCCTGGCCCCCCCGCTGGGCCGCGCACATGCCGCCGGTCATGATTTGCACCCCCCCCCTCTGGGACACCCCCCTCTTGGCCGCTCCCGAAGTTCTCCATGGGCTCCTGTTGCATGATCGCAGGGGGCGGCGGATCGAAGACGCCTACGGCGAATCGCCGCCGTCCCCCTGCCTTTGGGAGGGCCCCACGCGGCCGAACGTTGTGTGGTCAGAGCTCGGCCAAGCTACCGGAGCATGTGCACCCCCAGCCGTTGTGGAAATTCTCTGGGGGAACACGAAGGGAACCCCAAACCACCTAAATTTTGACACGCCGAGCACCCCTGTGGCAAGCGGCGGATCGAAGACGCCTACGGCGAATCACCGCCGCTCCCTGCCTTTTTGAAAGCGCCTGCGTGGCCGAAAGTTGGGTTTGAGCTTGGCCAAGCTATCGCGCCACGCGTTCCCCGAGTGGGTTTCGAAAGCCTTCGGGGAACACGGAGTCGGGCGAGCAATCGGACCAGGTGGTTTCCGAGCTTTCGGGCCTCCTGGAGGACGTCTTGGAGGGGTCTTGGGCCGTCTTGGAGGCCTCTGGCGGGCCTTTTGGGCAGTCTGAGGCCATCTGCAGGCCGTCTGGAGCCGTCTTGGGTGCATCTTGGGGCCATCTTCGCCGTCTAGGAGGCCTTCTTGGCCGTCTTGGGGGCATCTTGGAGGCCATCTTGGCCGTCTTGGATGCCATCTTGGGCTTCTCGGGGGCCGCTTGGGCTCGGCGTCTTGTTGGGGCCCTCTTGGGGGCCTCTTGGGCTGTCATGGGGCCATCTCGGAGGCCTCTTGAGCGCTCTTGAGACGATGATGGGGGCCTCTTGGGCCGTCTTGGACCGTCGGAGAGCTCAAAAGGAGCAAAAGCCAGAATCCTTCAAACAACCTAAGGGCAATCTATGATTTTGGCTCTTCCGGGTCTTCCTGGAGGACGCCTTGGAGGGCTCTTGGGCCGTCTTGGAGGCCTCTTGTGGGCCTATAGGGCCGTCTTAGGCCATATTGAGGCCATATTGGGCCGTCTTGGCTGCATCTTCGGGCCATCTTAGCCGTCTTGACGGCCATCTTGGGCGTCTTGGACGCATCTTCGAGGTCATCTAAATCTTGGAGGCTATCTATGGCTTCTTGGGGGCCTCTTGGGCCGTCTGTGGGCCTTCTTTGGGCCCTCTCGGGGGCCTCTTGGACTGTCATTGGGCCATATTGGAGGCCTCTTGTATGCTCTGGGGTCGATATTGGGGGCCGCTTGGGCCGTCTTGGACCGTCGGAGAGCTGAAAAGGAGTAAAAGCCAGAATCCTTCAAACAACCCAAGGACAATCTATGATTTTGGCTCTTCCTGGTCTTCCTGGAGGACGTCTTGGAGGGCTCTTGGGCTGTCTTGGAGGCCTCTTGATTGGGCCGTCTTGGGTGCATCTTCGGGCCATCTTCGCCGTCTTGGAGGCCTTCTTGGCCGTCTTGGAGGCATCTTGGAGGCCACCTTGACAGTCTTGGAGGCCATCTGGGCTTCTTGGGGGCCTCTTGGGCCGTCTTGGGACCTTCTTGGGGCCCTCTTGGGGGCCTCTTGGGGGCCTTTTGGGCTGTCCTGGGGCCGTCTCGGAGGCTTCTTAGGCACTTTAGGGGCGATCTTGATGGCCTCTTGGGCAGTCTTGAGCCGTCGGACGGCCGAAATGGAGCAGAAGCCCAATCTAGGATTTTCACCTCTTCGGGCCGTCCTTGAGTACCCTGGAGAACCTTTTCGAGGCCTCGTGGGCCGTCTTGGAGGCCTCTTGGAGGCCTCAGGGGCCGTCTTGGGCCGTCTTAGGTGTTTCTTTTGCGAACTTGGAGGCATCCTTGACTCTCTTGGGCCGTCTTCGAGGCCATCTTGGACCATCTTGGGCGAGCTTGGAAGTCATCTTGGGCCATCTTGGCCATCTTGGAGGCCATCTTGGAGCCGGTTGAAGCCGAACAACCCTTTGCAGCCACCTTTTGCGCACCCTTCTGGGTGGCCAGCGGGACGGGCCGAAGCCCCAGGGGGATTTCTTTTGGAAAAAGAGCCAAAACCAAAAGCGAAAGGATTCAGCACGCCGGGCACCCCTGTGGCAAGCCAACAGGGGGCGGCGGATCGAAGACGCCTACGGCGAATCACCGCCGCCCCCTGCCTTTTTGGAAGTGCCTATGTGGCCGAACGTTGAGGCCAGGCCTGCCAAGCTATCGGACCATGTGTTCCCCGAATCGGTTTGGAAAGCCTTCGGGGAACACGTGGGCATCTTGAAGGTCATCTTAGCCGTTGTGAGGCCAATTTGACTCTTTCGGGCCTTCTTGGAGGACATCTTGGAGGGCTCTTGGGCCGTCTTGGAGGCCATCTTGAGCGTCTTGGAGGCCTCTTGGGCCGTCTTGGGGGCCTCTTGGGGCCGTCTTGGGCCTATTGGACGATCTTTGGGGGCAATTGGGCCGTCTCGGGCCGTCGGAAGGCCGAAAAAAGGCATGCTACAATCCTTTAAACAAGCTCATGGGGAATCGATTGTTTGGGCCTTTTCTGGCCTTCCTGGAGGCCCTTTTGGAGGCCTCGAGCCAACTTCGGCCATCTTGGTGGGTTCCTGGCCCGTCTGACGCCGTCGGGAGCCGTCTTGGGGGCCTGTCTGAACCGACTTGGGGTCCTCTTGGGGCGCTTCGGGGCCGTCGTGGAGGCCATCTTGGGCGTCTTGGAGGTCTCTTGGGCCGTCTTGGGGCCCTCTCGGGGCCGCCTTGGAGGCCTCTTGGGCCGCCATGGGGCCCTCTTGGAGGGTCATGGGGCCCTCTTGGAGGCCTCGTGGGCGATTTTGGGGCGATCTCGGCGGTCTCTTGAGCTGCCTTGAGCCGTCGGTAAGCCGAAAAGAGGCAAATGTCACAATTCTTCAAACACCTCAGGAAAATCAATGATTTGGCCTCTTCGGGCCCTCCTGAAGGACCTCTTCGAGACCTCTTGGGCCGTCTTGGGCCGTCTTGGAGGCTTCTTGGGTGAACTTAAAGGTATATTTGATCCTCTTGGGCCGTCTTGGATGCCATCTTTGGACCATCTTGGGCGGACTTGGAGGCCATCGTGGACCATCTTGGGCGAGCTTGAGGGCCATCTTGGCCGTCTTGGAGACCATCTTGAGCCGTCTTGGAGGATTTTTTGTGGACGCTGAGGTGGTTTACGCGGCCTTCCGGGACCCCGGCGGAACGGGAGCTCTTTTTGGAAAAAGAACCAAAACCAAAACCGAGAGAATCCAGCACGACAGGCACCCCTGCGATGAATCGACAGGGGGCGGCGGATCGAAGACGCCTACGGCGAATCACCGCCGCCCCCTGCCTTTTTGGAAGCGCCTATGTGGTCGAAGGTTGTGGCCAGAGGCCTGCCAAGCTATCGGACCATGTGCTCCCCGAATCGGTTTAGAAAGCCTTCGGGGAACACGTGGGCATCTTGAAGGTCCTCTTGGCCTTTCGGGCCTTCTTGGAGGACGTCTTGGAGGGCTCTTGGGCCGTCTTGGAGGCCATCTTGAGCGTCTTGGAGGCCTCTTGGGCCGTCTTGGGGGCCGCTTGGGGCCGTCTTGGGCCTCTTGGGCGATCTTTGGGGGCACTTGGGTCGTCTCGGGCCGTCGGAAGGCCGAACAAAAAGCAAATGCCACAATCCTTCCACAATGCATGGGAAATCAACATGTTTTGCCTTTTCTGGCCTTCCTGGAGGCCCTTTTGGAGGCCTCTTGGGCCGTCTTGGGCCATCTTAGTGCCATCTTCGGCCGTCTTGGTGGGCCCCTGGCCCGTCCGACGCCGCCGAAAGCTGTTCGGGGACCTCTCTGAGCCGACTTGTGGCCCTCTTGGAATGCTCAAGGGCCGTCTTGGAGGCCATCTTGGGCGTCTTAAAAAGCCTCCTGGGCCGTCTTGGGGGCCTCTTGGGGCCGTCTTGTTGGCCTCTAGGGCCGTTCTGGGGCCATCTTGGAGGCCTCTTGGG